ATATAATTTTTTCATCGAATAGATGTTTATTATATACAGACTTTTTTATTTAATTTAGATTTTTTCAATAATTTTTCGAAAGTTAATGTAATAATTTTAAATATAATAAGAAATTTAAATTTGATAAAAAATCTATATTCAATGAAAAAAATCTAAACAAAATAGAACAAATAGAAATAGTAATTAAGTAATATTCTTAATAAAAAAAATCTTATATAATAAAAATCTGTTTGATGATAAAATTAAATTTAAAATAAAAAACAATTTGTAAAAAAATCTAATTAGAAATTTAAAAATTCTATATTTGATCAGATTTTTTATTAAGACTTTTTTATTTCTATTTAGATTTATTTTATTCAATCAAGTCTTTTTATGGAATATGTTTTTTTATTTAATTTAGTTTTTTCAATTGTTTTTTATTCTACATTGTTTTTTTGAATTGAAATACAAATTATGAAAAAATCTCTACCGAAAAAAAATTTATATTTGATAAAAAAAACGTTGATTGAATATAATAAATCAAAAAAGAAATTTAAAAAAAAATTATTGAAAATCTAAATAGAATAAAAAAATCTGTATAAATTAAAAAATGTAAATATAATAAAAAAACTATTTTTGATAAAAAAACTATAATAAAAAAAACTATTTTTGATAAAAAAACTATTTAATAAAAAATATTTTATCAAGATTTGTTTAATTTTTTCAATCCAATCAAGATTTTTTATTGAATATTGATTTTTTTATTGAATTAAGATTTTTTCATAATTTGTATTTCAATAAAAAAAGACAAGTAGAATAAAAAAACTATTGTAAAAACACAAAATTTAATTTAAAAAAAGCTGTATTTACCTAATAAAAATGTAAATTTAATAAAAAAGTCTATTTGTTAAAAAAAACTTTGTTTTATAAAAAAATTTCAATCTAGATTTGTTTAATATTTTTAATTGAATCAAAATTTTTATTAAGATTCTTTTTAGATTTGTTATATTCAATCCATATTTTTTTTTATCTAAAGTAAATCTTCTTCAGTATAGATGATAAAAATAAATAAAGACAACATTGTATTTTTACTATGAGGTGAATTATTTTTTTTTGATGGGAAGGAAGATCGTGCGAATTTCAAATCTAGGCTTGCGAATAGGTGCGAATTACGTGCTAAATGTCTGCAGAAGAAAAATTGTGAAAATTTTAATTTTTAATGAGGGGGTTAATTTTTACTATGAGGTGATTTTTTTTCGAGGAGAAGGAAGGCCGTGCGAATAACGTGCTAAATATTTGTATAGTTTGTTTATAGATTTTTTTTTGGGGGGGGAGCTGCTACTACGTACGTTGGTTTTTGTATGATTGAAATTTTATTTATTAATTCATTATTGTTTCATTTTCATTGGGTATATTTTTATAAATAAATAGATTTTACGAATTAGATTTTTTTATTAAATATACTAGGTTTGTTTAATTACTTGGGCTCTTTATTTTGAATTTTTTTATTGATTTAATATTTTTTATTCAAATAACATTTATAATAAAATAAAATTTATTTTTAAAGTATTGATTTTCTTCTATTAAACTTAGCTTGTTGTTTATAATATTATATTATTATATATTAATGTATTATGCCATTATATAAAACCTAGTATCTAAAGGTGCGTCCACATTAGAGCAAATTTGTGTGTGCGTTGAATTTTAATCTCGACTGGCGCACGTACGCCGAAAATTGGGATTATGTTTAATTTGTATATTGTGCGTTGTACGTTGTATTTTCATGCTCAGACTTTGTGGCTGTATATTCTGTAGTAGTTAACAGTGTTAACAACTGTGTAGTGTGTATCCACAATTTTAGTTATTTTATTTTATTATTTATTATTTATTAGTAATAATAGGTTCATATTAGTCATCACTCATTATGAATGAAATTGAAATCAGAAAAAAAAAGCCGCAGCATTTATAGTCATTCACCAAATATTAAATAAAAAAACAAAAACAAAAACAAAACATCGGCAAAGACGTTGGTGGATAACAAAGTTATACCAAAATAAATTACATAACAATGGCTCAAGTTTGTTATCCACTTTAAAATTCGACGAAAGCACTGGACAATTCAAAAATTTTCTTCGGATGTCTTCACAAGATTTTGAGACTTTAATAAATATGGTTGGGCCAAAAATACAAAAAAGTGATACACGTTTTCGGAAAGCAATTCCAGTCAAAGAACGATTAGCGGTTACTTTAGGCTTTCTTGCTACCGGTGATTCGTACACAAGTTTGCAGTACCTTTTTGGGATGTCCAAACAAATAATATCACTTATTATTCCAGAAGTTTGTGAAGCACTTATTGAAGGACTTCAAGATAACATTAAGGTAAAATACATAATCATATAAAATTACTTTTTTTATTAATTAAAATATTACATAACAATATTATAATATTTTTAAAATAAAACAAAATAATAGTATAATAATATTCACCTTTGAATTTGTAACTGAGCATACAATATATTAAAAAAAATATTATATGTCTTAATTATTTGAAAACAATAGTATAATAATTCAGTCTTGAATTTTTTAATTGAGCATACAAGATATATTTAAAATAATATAGTATTAATTTCTAAAATTAAAAAAAATAATAATAAAATAATTCACCTTTGAATTTTGTTACTGAGCATACAATATATTAAAAAAAATATTATATTTCTTAATTATATGAAAACAATAGTATAACAATTCAGTTTTGAATTTTTTAATTGAGCATACAAAATATATTTAAAATAATATAGTATTAATTCTAAAATTAAAAAAAATAATAATAAAATAATTCACCTTTGAATTTGTAACTGAGCATACAATATATTAAAAAAAATATTATATGTCTTAATTATTTGAAAACAATAGTATAATAATTCAGCCTTGAATTTTTCAATTGAGCATACAAAATATATTTAAAATAATATAATATTAATTCTAAAATAAATAAAAATATTAATAAAATAATTCACCTTTGAATTTGTAATTGAGCTTACAATATATTAAATACATTATAGGAATAAAGTGATAATAAAAAAAAAATAGTTAATTAGAGAACTCGTGAAAAAAATCTTGTAAATTGGAATAACTTGCTTGTGGTGTAGTAGAGGAGTCCGTAACTGAGGATACAGAACCTGGCGAAGTTACATTTTATTTTGGTCTGTAAAAGATAAGTAGTCGAAATAATGATTTGGTAATATCACTAATATCATAATATTTTTATATTCTCATTTTCTATACACCATACAAATTTGAAAATATTTTGAATCGTTTTGAGCTATTTGCGGACATTTTCAGTTTTCAATTTTTTTAGTTTTTTTTTGTACAATTGTCAATAAAATTTTGTTTGTTGGGTTAAAAAGCGTGAAAATTTAATACAAGGCTCCTGATATATTGTTACAATAGTAGTTGAAAAATATTAAAAATACATAGGCACAATTATTTTTATAAACATTTAAGGTTAAAATTTTAACAAAATTTATCAAATTTAAATTTTAAAATTATTTTGTAGTTAAAAATGTATAAAATGTTCAACTTTTATAGTTGAGGATTGAAAATTTAAAACAAGGTTCCACGTAAATAGTTTATAATATATAAATTACTTTATTCACAATAATACCATCAAAATATATACTTAGTAATATCATAGGTAGGCTGACTGACCGTCTTCGCTCAGAATCGTTTTTCTTATACAATGATATTATACCATTGGATTCAAATTTAACATTATCCATTACAGTGACTCACTTGTAGCCTACTGTACAGCAGAGCTACACCCACTTGCCCACCTTTTTTAATACAATTTTAATATTTTACGAACATTAGTAATGGTACCTTTCATACCGTGTACATTGTTGGAAATGTATTTTATTATCATAATGTTGCGCCGTTTGGTATTCGAATCATGTAGTAAACTTTCAAATACTTTGACAGAGGGAAACATTTTTTGTTATAATTTATAAAATTTTTTTTAAAAAAATCGAAGGTTGAAGATGCTTTTAAATAGCTTTAAATTCGACATAATACATTATATAAGTAACAATTTTTATAACATTTTCAGTTGCCCTCAAATCCGGATGAATGGTTAGCAGTATCTGAAAAATTTGAAAGTCTTTGGAATTTTCCACACTGCTTGGGAGCTATGGACGGAAAACACATTGTACTTCAAGCTCCTATTCATAGTGGAAGTGAATATTATAATTATAAATCTTTCTTCAGCATCGTATTGTTTGCCTTAGTAGATGCCGAGTATAATTTATTATATGCTAATGTAGGATGTCAGGGCAGAATCTCGGATGCAGGAGTTTTTCGTAATAGTGATTTATTCAAAAAACTCGAAAAAAATTGTCTGAATTTACCATCATGGTCCGCTTTACCGGGTAAAAACAAAAAATTACCTTATGTAATTTTGGGAGATGAGGCTTTCCCTTTAACACAAAATATAATGAAGCCATATTCAGGACTACATCCTTCTGGGTCAAAACAAAGGATTTTTAACTATCGCCTTAGTCGATCCCGAAGAGTAGTGGAAAACGTGTTTGGGATAATGTCCGCTATGTTTCGAGTGTTAAGAAAACCTCTATTATTAGAACCAAACAAAGCAACAATTATAGTTATGGCAGTAATACATTTGCACAATTTCTTAAACAATAGTGAAACATCAAAAAATAATTATATGGCTCCTACAGCGTTGGATAAAGAGGTAAATGGTAATATAGTTTCTGGAAGTTGGAGAAATCATTCGGGAGATCTTACTTCACTACGTCCCATTCAAAATATTCCACGGAGATCAACAGAGCTAGCTAAGGAAATCAGAGAAGATTTTTCTGATTATTTTACTACAAATGGAGCAGTACCGTGGCAGTTCAATCACGCATAGAGTATTTTTTTATTATTATTAACTTATTAACTGTTTTTTATTATTAGTATAACATTTATTATAATAATATTATAATTAAAATTATTACGTTAATTTATTATTTATTATTATTTGCTATTATTAGTATAACATTTATACATACACTTTCTGTATTCAAAGTTGGTCTTGGCTGATCCTTATCTGCTAAAAATAGCATGCTTTTGAAAGCGAACCAATTGCTAATATACACTTCCATAGCGCCTATAACCATAAAATATATGTGTACCGTTACAAACTATATAGTTATGTTACCAAGTTGTTATTTTTAGTTATTATAGTAATATTACTATTTAATGATTACGTAAATTTGTAAGTAGGTACTTACCTTTTCCTGTTCCCATAGATTTTTTTCCTTTCGCCTTTTCTCTACGAAAAGATCCCGACAGACTTGCCATTTTTTTCCTAACCTCTTCATGGTCTGTATTAAACAGTTTAGCAAGAGAACACCATGCGTCGTGCTTTTTTGTTTTCGAATAATGAAATGGATCTTTCGCATCCCATAACAATTTATATTTTTGGTACTCTTGTATGAGCATCAAACAATCGTCTTTACTCCACTCCATATTAATAAATTATTAAAATAATCGCACAAATTCGTTAAGTTTTATTTTAACTATTGATTTGTTCACTGCGCGTGTGCGTAATAAAATAGACCACGAAAAAGACGTCCAAACTGAGCGCCGCAAACACACAAATTCCTTTGATCTTGACCAAGAGACCGACAGCCGTTTGGATCGTGTGCGTTGTACGGCGCGAATGCAAACGCACAAGCTGAGCATGTGTCGACCTGTCCAAACTAGTCTAATTTTTGACGCACGCCACAAAATTCAAATTCTAAATACAACGCACACACAAATTTGCTCTAATGTGGACGCACCTTAAACAATGGGCAATGGCCCAAGTTGCCACGGGTTAATTAATAACAAAAAAAACCTAAAGAGGAAATTTTTGTTGTATTTTTTAAATATTTTTTATAATTGTATAATAAAAACCATGGTAAACCAGTAAATAAAAAAAACCAAACATTTTTTACACATATAGGTTTTATAAAAACTAATATAATAATATTATACTTAATATAAAACTTTATAATTATTAAAACCTTTAAGTATAGACTTTAAATTGTCGTTTATTTAATTACAGGTAAGAGATTTGTGTTTATTAAAATAAATAATCATGTTATTCATATTAATAAAATAAGATATTTACTTACAGATAAACACAACTTTCTTTCAGGGATAATTAAGGAAGGGATGACTTACAAATTCTAAATTCGTGCTTACAAATACTTACAAATTGCCCTTGACGATTAGGCACAGTCAAAGTTCGAAAAGCTCGACAAAGCACGGTCAACTTTCTTTCAGGGATAATTAAGGAAGGGATGACTTACAAATTCTAAATTCGTGCTTACAAATACTTACAAATTGCCCTTGACGATTTGGAACAGTCAAAGTTCGAAAAGCTCAACAAAGCACGGCCAACTTTCTTTCAGGGATAATTAAGGAAGGGATGACTTACAAATTCTAAATTCGTGCTTACAAATACTTACAAATTGCCCTTGACGATTTGGAACAGTCAAAGTTCGAAAAGCTCGACAAAGCACGGCCAACTTTCTTTCAGGGATAATTAAGGAAGGGATGACTTACAAATTCTAAATTCGTGCTTACAAATACTTACGAATTGCCCTTGACGATTTGGAGTAGTCAAAAGCTTTGAAATGTCGAAACGGCCAAGTTTCGCGAAAGTTAGCCGTGATTTAAACTTTTGAGGATAATCGAAAACGGCTGTACTTACAAATTACCAAATTGTGCTTACAAATACTTACAAATGACTTACAAATTATTTACAAAATTTGGAGTCAAAATTTTGACATTGCGCGGCTAACTTCACGGAGCTATAGGCGTAACTATAAACTAGACCTTAAGGTTTGGGGAAGGGCTATGTCCCCCCCAAACTCGTCCTTCAAGTAACATTCATAATTAAATTATAATATTATGTTATTATTTTACACTGTGTGACATGTATAAAACAAATAATAAAAAAAGTCGCTCTGCTGTACAGTAGGTTACAAGTGGGTCACTGTATAATGGATGGTATTCAATCTGAATTCAATGATATAATATCATTGTATAAAAAAAACGATTTTGAGCGGAGACGGTATGTCAGTTTAGGTGTAGGACATATTATACACATATCTATGGACTATGGTATTAAAAAAAAAATGACCTATAATAGGTACCTATAATAAATTCCAAATTAATCATATCGCAATATCCATTAGGTACTTATAACGCGTTATACACCAATAACAAACCGTGATACCATCATAGATATATAGTAGTATACTTTAGAAGTTTCAAGTACCCACGAATAGTATTATACAATCACAACAAAATAACTAAAATAGCTATTCTAGGTTTTTTAATATGTAATTTCGTCCAAATTCGAACTTAAAATGACTATAAAAATAAACTGTGCTTGTGTATTTTTTAGACTTTTTGGTAACAGAATTAACTACTTATGTGGAATCTTGTTTTAAATTTTCAATCCTTAGATATAAAAGTTGAACATTTTATAAATTTTTAACTACAAAATAATTATTCAATTTTATATTTGATAAATTTTGTCCAAATACGATCTTTAAATGCTTATAAAAAAAGAATTGTGCCTATGTATTTTTAATATTTTTCAACTGCTATTGTAACAATATAGTAGGGAGCCTTGTATTAAATTTTCAAGTATTTTTACTCTACAAATAAAGTTTTATTGACATTCATAGAAAAAAAAAGTAATAAAATTGGAAACTGAAAATGTCACTAAACAGTTCAAAACAAATCAAAATTTTTTGAAAATGTTTATGTGTATAGAAAATACAAATATAAACAACCAGTGAAAATATCATGTATCTGCGGTCATTTGTTTTAAAGTTGCACCAAAAACCAAAGTCGATTTTACGTAAAAATTCACGTTTTTCCTTAATTTTTCATTTGTTTTACTTGGCGCTTTTGAAAATTACTGCGAATTTTAAATGTTGACCTTCTCAATGCAACAACAATATTCACTTTCCAATCGAACAAGATACTGAAGGTGGAAATCGCAGCATTATTTTGACTACTTATCGTATACACGGACACAAAAAAAAATTTTAAAATAAACACACATCATTATAAAATCATACATTCGTCGTAGTTCCACTCAGAATCTAAAAGTAATAAATACGTTGACCCATATTTATTTTTTAGACCTAAATTTCCATTTTTATTCACCTATTCAATAGGTACTGTAAAAGTGTTAACAATATGAGTACAATTATATAAAGATAAAAAAATAAAAATACTACATTTCTTTTTACATTTCTAGGAAAAAATAGTTATTACCTACTCAATTTTACATTTATAAAGAATAGCTTTATTAGCCTAAATTACAAAATCCAATTATATCCAAACATAATAACTTAAAATAGTCATGCCTATTATTATCTGTAACCAATTATAATTTATAACCCTAGGTACCTATAAAAGAAAAATATTCAAAACAAAAGTCATGTGTGAGCCACCCAACCAGCTATATAGGATTGAAAAACGAAACAACAAGTCCTCTTCGAGTCTCAAGGAATTGATTTGTATAAGTGTATAACTATTTGATTTAAAAGGGTCCAGTATGTTTTTAGTCTATAAAATACGAACAAACAAACATTCATTTTCATATTTCATATATTAGATCTATAGTAGGTACCTTATAATCTTAAAATGACACTGAGCAGTTTGAACTAATTTTAGCCAAAAAAAAGTATTATAATATTATATAATTATTATTTTAATTAACTTATAAATCATCCCCGATAACTCTCAGAGACGTTTCAAACGGACTTGACTTAGAGATTTTAGGGTGGCACTACCATTATTCCCATTGGGGCATTGGCTACTCAGTAGGCAGTGGCGTGTAATGTGTTTATTATGTGTATCATAAAAAAAATATTCGTGTTGCCCAAATAATCTTAGGTGACCTACTCCTGATAATGCCATGGTATGCAGAACAACACTTGGACCCTTTGTTACACGCCACTGATTTAACTTGTAATCAAAATTCCTTATTGAACTTTTCTATATTCTATATGACTATATGACTATATAAGCATACATTTATATCTATATAAGTATATAACTATTTAGCGTAGGTGCCGTAGAAGTCGTAGAACAGTATGGATATGTTCGTGGTGTAAATATAGCTTAAAATGACTAATTAGTAATTAGTCTTATTTGTAAAAAATGTATTAGTTTAAGTTTGAAAAATGTATATTACCTACCTATATAATATGTAGCCGTGTAGGTATACAAACTTATAAACTAAAGTTAAATTAGTTAATAATAAATATTACATGAATGAAACTAAAAAATAAATAATCCAGTTATATACCTATAGACTATAACTCGTTATAATATATTATATATATAAAAATGTCAACACCGATACTTAGGTAACTTAAACTTTTAAATTTGTTAACATATATCTAGCGTTAATATTCTAAGAGTTTCCTAATCTCTAAACCGGTTCCACTGCATTTTGGACACTACCCGTTTTCCACCATTTACCTAAAAAAAAAAAAATTAATTCTAGTTTCCTCCGATATCGGTGTAGTACCCGTTTTTTGAATCAATAATGAAGAACATAATTTGATCAGCTGGAACGTTACAGGCTTACACTCTGATCGTTCTACGCTGTCGTCAACTCACGCCTATATATTGTATTTTTTTATTCATCGTTTGCTATGTCCCAGATGAATTGCTGTGATCGGAGTGTACGTCGTTTTTTCTCTCAACAATTCGTGAAAAGCATCGAGTATTCAAGTCACTTAATAGTTCAAATACAAAATCAAAACGTGGGTTTATGTCGGTAGATTCAGACAGTCAACTACTCGACAAAAATCGACCAAGTTCGTTGCCGTTTCTATCTACCTCGAATGAGATATTTATCTACGCAGCAGTTTTTTCACATCAAAAATGAAAGATAACAATTCGAAAAGGTAAGTAATAATATATTGAGCATTATTAACTACATAGTAAATAATTGTATTTTCTCCAGTAAGATCGGATTGATATTTGATGTATATAAAAATACGTGTTTATCTAATACCTACTTAATAGAATAACTAACTAGAAAATACTAGGTCATGTCATGGTCTATATTATTATATAATATATAAGTAAACTATCTAAGTAAAATATTTTATAATAATTATACATTTATACCAACGCATTGTCTCATTACCGTACGTCACACATACATTTATATAGTACGTTGTATACTTGTATGCATACATAGTATAATTATTAGGTATATAACATAACTCATAAGTACCTATATATATAAAATACAAAAATACAATTACAAGACAAAAATAAATAATTTGTATACAACTTATACTTTTAATACCTTTCTATATAATACTATGTAGGTATATAACATAAAGTAGAAAATATAAATGTGGACAAAATATGTGCATGCATATTGCATACTGCTTGGTGCTAATGTAGTATAATATTATAAAATCAATGGTATATAC